GAGATAAGATTAAGGTTAAGAGATATTAGATTTGTTGGTATAAGCTTAACTTTTGTTGGAAGAGAGTCCAACTTTTTTTCTTATCTTTTACCTGCTACTCGGAATTTTGTCTCCTCACTTTCAACATTTGACTCATTTTAGAAGAGGCAGAAGACCTTTACTTATTTACATTGTAAGGATCATGTTAATTCTATTAACAGTTCAATTTTGAGTTAAACTTCTTTCTGTCAAATTCTTAACTTCAACTTACTACATCCGGCCAGACCGTAGTTTTGCAATCACGTCTGAATACATAATGAGGAAGAGCGGTATTTAACCGCGAAGTTCTGCTTGGTGAACGAGAGAGATCAGAGTTTCCTGTAATTAGCCCGCGGGGGTCCGCCTTTTTGGCAACTCCCTTCCTCTCAAAGCTGTTTTATTACGCTCGGCCGTAACTCCAGGGCCCTTGATGCTGAGCAAGTTCCATCTCGTGTGGTAAGGGCCCCAATTTACATTAAAACACTTTTTTGATAGCTTCGGTATATCTTTCTTTAGTTTTATTTTAGTTTAGTGCTAATTGTCTTAAGTTCAAGCCCCTAGTGGTTTTTTTTCGCCTTTTTATTGTACCTCCCAGACCGGAATTTTCCTGCTAAATCTTAATCTGAATAATGAGGTTTTTTATTTACCCTTCCACCTTGTTGTTTCTTCTTGCACGACTCAAGCCGATTAATTCGCTTTACTAGTTCTGAGATTTCTCACTTTCAACAGTAACTAAGCATTTACAAAGTGAAGGAAACTCTACATTTGCCGAGTAGGCCGAGCGGTAAATTAGCAAAAAAGCTTTTGAGAGAGAGTACCAAAAAGGCAGAGACGCGCTTTTTGCCGATCGAAACTCTGAATTTTTTCTCTCGCTCAGCAAGTTAGAACTCGCGGATAAAATACCGCTCTTTCTCATTCTGTTTCAGCGTGGAATTCCAAACTACGTTTTCTGACCGGAAGTAAGTAAGTTAAAATTTGACAGAAATAAGTTTAACTAAAAAGTTTAAACTGTTAATAAACTAACATTCGCTTACAACATGAATACATGCAAAATCTTTTTTTTTTAAAGTTTTTTGTGAAATTTCCTGTACTTTATAATATAAAACCAAAATGTTACAATTTGTAAGAGTCATTAGTTTGTTTTTTAAAGGCAAGGTATACACATGAAAAAAATGAGTCATATCCCTTCCCCCGGAAACCCTAACCTCTGAAATTACCTCCGGGCTAATGTTTCTACCGTTTAAGACCAATGAAGCATACTGTAAAGGAATGGAGAAAATACCTATGTACTCCACTAATTTCAGGGTCCGACCTGGGGTATTACGGGGTTTCTAATCGCCAAATCCCTATGGTGACGAATTAAACTGTCCACTACCTTTTTTCTTACTGAAACGCCACGATAGTCCCATTAAGCTATTTTAAAGCAGGAGACAATTGAAAATTGAAGCAATGCCCCTAAGCCGGGAACCTCGACCCGGATGGCCTCGAATACACTGCCGGGATTGCGCTTAAACCGTTACAACACCACGAAGACGGTTTTTGGAAAGGAAGCGAGAACAATACGTTTTTGTTAAAACTAACATTAGCTTATATTTTTTTGGCATGACTGGCTTTTGAAAGATATGTAGTATACTCCCCCTAAATTCTTTATTCAACACTAAATGCAAAAATGAATAAGAGGTCTAAATCCTGCCCCAGAAACTTTAAAATATTACCTTGTGTTCCTTTTAAAATCTAATTTTAAACCAGTTGTCAATTTATTACGTTTAGGTTTAATTAAAAGGCAGAAAATTTAAATTCAAATTACTTTTTATGTCGATTTTAAAATCTATTTCGAACTTTCCATTTCTTTTTTTCGAATATGAACAATCCACAGAATTTACAACACCTAAAATTACCATAAGCGAAACACCTGTTAAATGTTTCGCCAGTTGTTTGTTCAACAACTCATTAATTTTTTTATATCAAACACTTATAGGCTCGCATGGGAGTTTTTTTGCCGTCCGAGTCCACTATTATGGCCGCTTTTTTAATTTTTTCCATTCGAGTCCCTGTGTTTGCCATTCAAACAACAACGTAAAAATTCCTGTTATCCCAAATTGAATCTGTCCCTCGTTTTTTTAAGGTTTTAAAGGCAACTACTGTCCCCTGAAAAGCAAATTAATGCAGTTAAATAAAATTTCCGTGTTCTTCAATTTTGAATCAATCGATTTTTCAAATAATAAAACTAAATTTAAAAAAATCTGAAAGGTTTTTTCCAGAATTTACATTACCAGCGTTTTTTTTTGGTGGTTTGTTTACTTATATTATTAAACTCACGTGCTTTTTGGCCACTGTAAACATAAAAATTCACTTCAAACGCAAATTTAATCGCGTCAAAATAATTTTAATATTAAGGCATATCTTTTTAGAATTTTCCGATACACAGTCCCAAACGGCGGCGTGCCAATTAAAATTTATTTTTTTGTTCCTCGTTACCGTGTTTGCCACTGCTCGCTTGAAATCGTTCTAGTTTGTAATCAAAAAATTCGTTAAAATCTTACAAAATATTAATTCGAAAATAAACAAAGTTCAAAATTCCAGAGTAGAAATTCCTTTTTTCCAGATGCCCTCCAATCGGTGGGAAAATTACGTTTATTCAAAATGGATGGCTCTAGGTAACCGTCTTTTGTTTACTACAATACTAAAAACATGGTATTTTGCCCAGATTCTTCAGTATTGAGAATTTCTTTTAAATGTACACGCACATCGTAAAATTATTTTACACAAAATTTAAAAAATAATCAACTTTTATAGTGAATCAACGCAAAAAATGCCAAAGAATTAAATATTCCCGTTTCTGGCAAATCGTCCCTTTGGAACTTTGGAAATGCGTTTTAACTCAAATGATCTAATTCCCTCTGAATATCAGTGGTTTTTCACAGAATGACGTTAGTACGTTTTTTTATTATTTGTTTTTCATTTTTTTCGAAACCGTTTTTAATTAATTTTTGATTACAGCTCAAGCGATTTTGAATGTTTCAGTGACACAGTGCCACGGAAATAAAACCTCTTTTTACATCTTCCAGCCGCTTAAAGAAAGAAAATTAAAATGTTTTGTAAAAAAACTCTCTTAGTAAAAAATAATAAAAAAAAAATAAATTAAAAAAATAAAAAAATGAACATGGAGAAAACTGAACTGAGAAACTGATAAAAGACTGGAAAAAACAGAAAATGTATGTCAACTCTTAACACTACAGCAGGAATTCAAAAATATGCTCCTGTGATGCTCTTCATATTTCTGTAATTTTGTTGTTTAATTGTATATATAGCGTAAATGCGAAGAAAATTATGCTTAATAATAAGGCTAGAAGGAAATTTAAAAAAAAAAAAAAAAAGTGGATTACTAGGAGCCATTAGTAAGAGTAGTAGGAGTGAGGCTCGTATTCTGCAAGGTCAGTGAGAGTGTAAAAGACCTTAACAAACATTTTTGCTGGAACGTTAAAATCTGAAACCTTGTTTTAGTCAAAAGGGGTAATTTGCCCAAAAGAACTATTAATTTCGTTTTGGCATTTTGCATGGATTCACTACAAGCGTTGTTTTGTTTCTTCAAATTGTTGCCACCAAATATTATCCTCCTGTATTATACTTAAAAAAAAAATTAAATAATGAAGATATGTGTGTATGTTTCTCGCATTGTGATAAAACGACGGTACCGAGGGCGAACGAATTTTGAATGACGTAACCTCTTGCGAATATGGGCATCTGGAAGCCCAAATTTGGATTGTTTTTTTATTACTCAGTTTTTTTCAATATTTTTTTGGTAAAAACTTTAAAAAAATTTTGATTACCAAACTCAAGAACTCTTCACAAAGCGAGCACTGGGAAAGACGTTTTGTACGGAAAAAAAAATAGTTTTTATCTCCAGCGCGCGATACTTGGTGGTACCGGAAAATTTCTAAATATGCTGCATTTGAATTAAATTTTGGCATATTGCTCTGAACTGACGTTTTTAAAATATTTAAAGTTGCGAAGAACATTTATTCTCCAGTAAATAAAGGTAACCAACCAAAATGTTTAAAAAAACGGCCCGTGTTTTTTTGACTATTTAAAATCTGAAACTTTTTAGATTTTTTTTTTTTTTTTGTATTTGTTTTTCTTCTTCCTTTTCTTTTAAACTTTTACTAGAATGTATGAACATCAGAATCTGAGGACATGATGTTTAAAGGCTGCATGTTTCATTATTTTTGATGCAATATATGCAAATGAATTTAAAATGCTCTTGCTTTACATGTAGAGCGTTCTCTGTTTGTAAGATGTTCTTGCAAAGGAGTTTTCTTCTCTCATTCTGTTAGACCCATGGACCTCTCGATTTAAACTCGTTTTGTTGGGTAAGTACAAAAGTTCTATTCGTTTTATTTCCATAAAGACGAGCAAATAAATGAAAAATAAACAGTATCTAAAATTGTGTATAATTCCCCTTGTTATCTATAACCTCTTGCCATCATTCTGGTAGGAGATGAATCCCACGTAGGTAAACTTCCGACGGTTAACGAGTCAAAAAAGTCTTGGATGGCAGTTTTCACAGCATCAAGATCATCAAAGAATTTCTAGCTGAAGGGCTTAATCAACGCACGAAATAGGTGCTGGTGCCAAGTCAAAAGAATAGGGAGGATGAGGTTAAACTTCCCAACCGAAACCGAGTAGCTTTTGGCGAGTGATGATAGCAGCATGCAGTCTGGCGTTATCATGACGAAGGTAACACCGCGACGATTGGTGAGACCTGGCGGCTTTGCAACCAAATTTTAACGCAGCCTGTCTAACTGTAAACAGTAGAAGGCAGCAGTGATAATTAGTTGAGTGGCAGGATCTCCCAGTGAATGCACAACCCACCACACACTCAATAATACCTTCTTGGGATGACGTTCGGCTTTCGAAGTTAATGCACTCGGATCAGAAGGGTGACACACACTCCTACGCCGCTTTATGTTACTGCACATAAACTACTTCTCATCTCCTGTCACATTTCGTGTCAAGAATGGGTCGTTTTTGTGCCGGGAAAGCAGAAAAACACAGATGGCGATTGGGTCATCCCGTTGATTAGCTGTCAGGTTATGTGGAACCCAACGATCCAACTTTCTCGTAAAACCCAACTTAACCAGCCGTGTCTCGACTGTTTTCCGGTGTACGTTGAAGGTCTCCTCTAATCCCTGCACAGTTGGGGTCGGGTTGCTCCTTATGGCTTGGTAAATATTGTCTTCTGCAATGTGTGATGGCCGTCCACTCCTAGCCTGATCTTGGCAGCTTCTGGCTCTTTCCCTAAATTTACGAAACCATGGACGACATGAGCTTTCGTCTACTGCATCCTCCTCATAAACTTGACAAACACTGCGACATGCTGCGGCTTCCATACTCTCGAATTCGTATACCAAACAGTGTCTTATATGTTCCTTCTCACTTTCCATGTTACACCTTTTGAGATTTTTTTTTTTTGAGATGATTATGCGAGACACGATGCATTTACATGTGAGGCATCCATACGTTTGATTGGCCGACGATTTCTGTCAGTACAATGTCGTGTGACGTCAATTCCACTGAAAATTTGCATATCCAAAAACGGGTAGAACTTTTTGCACTCGCCTGATATATTAATTTGAACACTAAACAAATGATGTACAAAAATACGCAATCCTAAAATTAATACCTCTTTATGATTCGCTGAGCCAATCTTACAGTAAAACATGGTATTGTCCTATTTAATGTTACATTATTTTTAGATATTTGATACTTTGAAGGAATATTTTCGTACAATAGAGTAAAAAAAAATCATATTGAGGCTTTTTTCCGACATTTATTTAATAACTTACGCGCCAAAAGCTAGGCGAAATAAGTCTTGCGATTTTTATTACAGAAAATAGAAAAACATTTTTATATTTCTATGAAGAAATACTACCTTTAAACTTCTGTTTCTTATTCTCGTGCCATCTAGTAACTCCGACTGAGTGCAAACGACGTTATCAGCTCATTAATAATGATAAAAAATGACCAGATGACATTTCGTATATATCTTCAGCAAACCTTTTATTTTCTCAAATAACATTACCATAACAGGCACATTGGTTTTCCGCATGTGTAACGTGTATACGAAGCCAGTTTCTCTTGGAAAGTTCCATGAAGGCAACCCTTCCCTGAGGCAGATAGCCCTCGAAGCTTTGCTATAATCACACACACACACACACACCATAACAGGCACTAAATTATTATTAGTTTATCTGTCAAAATGTTTCTTACACCGAATTTGTTTCATCTTATAAGATTTAACGTAAGTAATCTAGCACTTATATATTTTCGCACGGGTCCTGGAGATTTTACTTTCTCTCCAATATAATATAATTTCAAGAGATATCCAATGATATCCCCGATGCTTTCCTTACACAACCTTCTGTAACTATAAACACGTGTTCACATTTATTTTGTTTAAAGCACAAGTGACATTTACAATTTTATTATACATTGTGTATATATATATATATATATAAGTAAATAATTTAGTACTAAGTAGCAAATTAGTAATTTAGTAGTATGAAATTTAGAACTAATGGTTTCACAAAGATAGAAATTTTGAAATTCATAATTAATAAATTTCAATTAATCCTGTAAATGCAACAATGAATGTAATTGATGTTAAAACAAAAACTTTTAAACAAGCTATACACCATTTACACAAATTTGTAATGAAATTAAAAGAAAAAATAGCAAAACAGAAGGGGAATTCAATCAACTTCAGTGCCACTTCGTCAGGGGGGGGAGGACAATTGGAATCAATTGAAACCTCTTTTCTACAATAATCCTTGTTTTTCTGTATTCAGAATTAGCCGATGAACCATTTCACAGTTGGGTATGTTTAATTAATAGTTTCACCCGAATTCCCTACTAGCCTTTTCCCCAAAAGCACGGGCAAAAAACAAGTAATCTAATTAGTAAATATTGTACCTTAAAATAAAGAGAATTTTACTATATTTTTAATGTTTTTTTTTTTAAAAAGTTTTTGTACAGATTAAATATATATATATTATCTATATTAGATATATATATATACACATATGACTCCAATTTACTTTTAACTTAAGGTGCTTTAAGTTTATTTTCCCTGTATGCGATGTTATTTACATATTATTTATTTACAAAGTGTCGGAAAGAAAAATGATTGTTGAATTTATAAAAAAACTTGGCTCTGTTAAAAAGAATAACTTAAGACATGCTGTTAAATGTGGGAATAAACCCACCACAGTAAGGGCAAATGGCAACTAGAAAAGTGTTTTCTTTACTTCATAAAACGAACCCATTGTGTTTGAGGCGGGGAGGAAATTCACAAAATCTATTATTCCTTGAGCAAAATGCGAAGCGAAGCTGACTATCTGAGAGCAATTTGATACGTCCCTACGGCCCATAAACAACTACTTAAGGGGATGCTTGTGACAGCCGAGGATTAAGACAAAGAAATATTATTCAAGATGTACAAAATAGTCGACTTGATATCACGGAGGTTAATATTTAGAGATCGTAACTCCTTGTTTGAGATAGAATCATTATCATTATCTTTCTCTTTCTCCGAAATTTTATTTGCGAGAATCATGCTATGCATACAGCCTTTAGCAAAAGGTACTGCAATGATATTATGTGTAAGAAGCACGCAATGATTGTTTTAAACGCTATGCTGTGTGGGAAACTTCTTCATAGGTCAAAAATCAACGGTTGTGTAACGCTAATTTTATAAAGAGGTGCATTTAGATATTCACGATAGCGTGATCATTTAAAAATTAATGAGAATTGCAACCAGAAACTTAAAGCGAATAGGACGTAATGCCCAGGGAAATGTCATTAATTTCAAAGCGAATAGGACGTAATGCCCAGGGGAATGTCATTAATTTCTAAGAATTTACAAGTGATTATGAATAACTGACTTAACGTAATACTTTTATTGTTATATAAGGTATATAACGTATTTCTCCCACATTCTTGGCCTGCCTTCATGGTGTGCGCGTATTCCATAGGTCCGTGGTTAGATTCCCGGCGAAAGCGGTTGCTCAATTTTCATCTCTCTTGCTTTCAAAAATTAGCTAATGTCTCTACAGTGGCGCCCAAACTAAAAGGGTGGATGATGATGACTCTTCATACCCAAGATTTAGCGATTGGGTCCCCTAGAAACCCCATGTGCACTTTAAAATGGGAAGTATGTAAGGTATTTCTCCCACCTTCTTGGCCTGCCTTCGTGGTGGTGGGGTTCCCTGCACCCTTGGCCGCCCCTATTCCAGAGGTCGCAATTTCGATTCCTGGCGAAGGGTTGCTCATTTTCCGCTCTCCTCCCTCTTGCTAATCAAAATTACCTTAATGTGTCCCCCCCTACAAGGCAAAATATTATTTTTTTTTAATTAAGTTTATTAACTATTTCTGATATTAAACATATTTTGAAAAAATTTTTAATAAATTTACAATTAAAATTTATTTTAATAAATTTTACAATTAAATTTTCTGATATTAAAAATATATTTTAAAATTAAAAAACAAATTAATTCCTTATTGAATATATGTAATAGAACATATATCTTTAAATAACTACATGTTTTTATTTCCGATTCTTCATCGTAAGTGAAAACATTGGATCCGTTGATTTTTTATTCCTTAACTTTTTGTTACATATTTATTTCAAGAAATTGTGTAAAGTAAAAAACGAAAATACATTTTATGTAACTCTTTTTTTATATTTTCAGTTTGAAAAATTTCTTCTAAAGTATTGTTGCGTGCCTAAGTTTTCGTAATAGATTGAATGCACACAGGTCCAGTGATATGTTAATAAAAATTATTTTTATCAAATGAAACTCTTAAAAAATTCAGGAATTTTCCAGAGAAATACTCGTACAGGTGTTCACAGTATCACAAAGTATAATCAGTAGTTGCACATTAAACTACTAAGAACGTTAAACACAGCGCACCTAAAGAGACAGTTTATCAGGAGATATCTTAGTTCACGTTGAACTAATAACTCGCAACAAAATAACGGACAGCAGTTGCTCTCACTGGCCTTATATAGTTTCCAATTGTCCGCCGAGATATTTCTAGCACTTTCTGCGGCTCGAAATCACTGGAAAGCAATATGAGCATCAAATAACGGTTGCAGCTAACATAATCATTAAGTACATTAATTCAATTACAGTATCTATTATAGGGATACAGAGACCAGACCAAAATGTCGCTAAATAATCTCCAAGTTTTGTGACTTTGGCGATTTCTCGCCAAAACAATTGTCAGCTAGGTGATATCTCGCCAAATTACAGAGATACCAATTTACTCAATGTTATATGCACTTGCCCCGGTATTATTCTTACGTTTCCTGCATAACTAGTATTTTCAGATTTTTCATGTTACATTACGCAGCAAAATAGCATAATTTCACAAATGATTGCACTAAAATCTTCTATCTGTATACCAAATTCGTAACAGTAGAACTTAGTAAACAATAAACAAACACACACAAAAAAGTATAGTTTGTAAGCTGCGTGGGATTTTAATAACTAAACATGAATTTACTGAAATACCAATTATCAAGTATAATTATTTCCAAAACAATATAAATTAAATAAAAAAAAACTGAAAAGATTTCAGATATTAACGATCATCCAAAAGGATATGCTAAGGTTTTTTACGCTCTTCTTGAGCTTCGAGACTACCAGTCTGCTCTTATACTTACTTCTGCTAACCCATTTTTTCTTTGTCATTTTAGCTTATTTAGTTTCGTTTTCTTCACACTTACAGTATATACAATTCAAGAGCAAAATCACAAAATTTTTAAGAGGAGCTTATGTTTATAAATCCTAATGCTGTGTTAAGTATTGGCATATATTTTTTATATTTTTCAGTCTTTTCTCAACATATCAATGTGCAGTTTTCTTAGTTAAATGACACTTACATTAAAAAAAAAAAAAAAAAAAAAAAAAAAAAAAAAAAAAAAAAAATTATTTTGTATATTAGTATCTAATATCGAGTCATAATCGACGCTGTATGTACTTACGATCAGATACAGGTTTTACACTTTATATATTCAATTCAAGTTCTTAAAAAATTAGCCACTTGTGATCTCAAATCACCCTGTCCATAAAATAAGGATAATTCGGAAGTCACGCGGAAATCGAACTAAAATAAATATATCACCTGTTAAAATCACAACACACATCTTCAAGAACCGTATGCAAAAGTAGTAACTAGATGACACTGATGGTACGTCACAATGACGAGAGTGTAAGAGAGTGATATATAAGGAATACAGGCAAAGAAGTAAATTTTTTCGCAGGCACTTTATAAGCATTTTCAGTGCAATAACCGAATAGTTATGACACAAAGGAAGCAATGGATGATTTTTTACGTGGTAGAATTATCGCCGTCTGGAATGTGGGCGTACCCAACTGGA